CGGCGCAACCAGTAATGAAGTCAACAAGCACCAAAGACATTAGGGTTCAACGGAAAGTGCCATTAGACTAAAACCTGTTCATTAGGAACTGGGAATAGTTGCTGGAATTGTTTCTGAAAGTCAGCAGGGTTGTTTAGGGGTCAGCACAAGGCGTTAAGGAGGAATATGGTACGGTATTATCTACAGTAGTTCCTGGCAATCCAAAATCCCACACACACGTATTCGATTACTCCCAGAACTCGGAGCGAAGGGCGATTTTGAAAAGGGGAAAAGGTTGAGGTGGGGTGATGGTAACGGTAATACAGTACGAGTACTGTACCTGGCCCCCTTGCCAAGAGAGATGCTTGCACAAAAATAATTCAAACACTGACCATTCTTGGTCCTGTTGACTGACCACTGCACTCTTGTGCTTGTAGTCCCGTGTTCAGGTGTCTGCACTCGATCAACCTCCGTGGGCTAAGCGAGGGGTCTACCGGTACCGTATCGTTTCGTATTGTCTGGTATTACCTTGTTTTCCGCCAAGACAGGGCAATAGCTCCGGTGGGGGTCCCAGATTTGAAATCGACCATTTCGACAACTAAGATCACGAAATAGGATTAAGGATGAACACATCCTAAAAAGAACAGGATGATGGGGGAAGGTTCTCCATAGAAATACCTAATATCTACTCCTCTTCATTCCCATGAACTTTGTTTTCCGATCGAACAGCTACCAGACCAGAAACATTGCATTCGGGAGTACCGGCACATGGTAGTTAACATGGTAACAAATTGGGTTGGTTTTAGGTGTCTGGTATCGTGCAATTGAGTGTGCCGAGCCCTTTTTATTGCCTTGCCAGCAGGGAGCCTTTGTGGATGTGTGACTACCGTACTATACTTAGTGTATCATAAGAGTAAGTCTGCGAGTGACCAAACAGAAGTTTTGCATGGTTTTGTGTGTGTTACAACCGCCCTCCACAGCCAAGATGTCGAGTACAAAACCCCTGTATGCACACCCCCAGATTTATCTCACTCCAAGTACTCAAGTACGGTACTTGCTCACACCCGGCCAGGAAAGGTCGGCCACCTGAAACTGATCTTGCTCACTTTAGAGCGTTGATATATACTGTACTTGTACTCGTGTGGTGGCCATGCTGACTTGCCCGGTATTTGCTCAATAGAGAATCAAAGTTCACAGGAGTAAATATTGGGTGGCTCCACCCAGGATTCCCCTCGTTCCTTTTTTTTTGGAGGGTGTTGACTTTGGACGCCAGGGACCCACCCAACTGTAAACAATACCCTGCCTGTGCGGAAAACCGGATACCGGTAACGTAATACCAAATAATGAGGGACAGGTGCTGGTAGGAGTGTTATTTCGTTGTTCATTGTCAGATAATGGAACTGACCACCCACAAGCAAGCACTTACCATCCCTTCGCAAATTGGTATCGGTATATGAATTTAGTACTCGAGCACAAGTTCAGGCCCTGCCCTAAATTTAGAAATACACCGGTAGAGTACGGTTATTCGTAACCTTATCTCCCTAACAACTACCGTACCATGCAGCATGCAGTACCGTACTTGTACCATAGCTCTCGTATCATACCGGGTGCTATGGTGTGATACCAGTACTGTACCCAGTCGACAACTGCATTGGAAAGTGGGCGCCGCATTGAAGGAACGCTGTAGCGAAGTGATGTTCTACTAGGAATGTTGCAATGAGGCCACGGTGCTCGCACAGTACCATGTCAATTCCTAATTATCTTTGTAGTATTACAGACCCGTCATGGGGATTCCCTCAACCTCGGACTGGGCACGAGATATAATCAGTCTTCTTGAACCGGAACTCTAAATATTATTTATCACTCATTATGACTTGTGGTCATGATCTTGCCATTGCTAAACCGGAGGGCGCTGTCCCATTCCTAGACATACCGGACCTGTGGGTTTGCCACTAGTGTCTTGCCCCCAACTTAAATACTATATAGGGTTGTCTTCCGGATCCTTGAGACATTGCACCGAGAATTGAATAAAATAGTAATCACCTTTCCTACAGTACAAAAAAAAAAAAGAAACTCAACGGCCTGCTCTCCTTTCTTTGCTCTCTCTTTCCTTTTTCATTAACATGAATCGCCGACTGACATAATATCCTTCGGTTAAGACAGGAACAAAGCATAGAAAAGAGAAATGATTCGGAGAAAAGTCAAATATCATCTTCAGCACACGCATCTTCGATATTTGGGTTCTAGTTCGCAGGGTTCAAGGGCCGTGTCAGAATATTCAGGGGCCTGAAAGGAAAAAAAAGAAGAAAACGTTCGAGAAGTGTTGTGCTTATCGGAAAGGGGGAGAAAAAGGAAAAAAAAGTCCCACCAAACCGTTATCCCGAGCCCCTCTCTGTCTCGCAGATATCTTGCACCACCTCGTTCTGTTACGAGTACGCAGACATAATGCGGCGGTGTATGAGAATCCATGGCTTGTAGGAGTTGTGAAGGTTAGCATGATGCCGGTACTCGGACCGATATCCAAGTAAGCCGGCGAGTTCACAGCGCCTTGCTACCGAATTTGGAAGAGTCTGTCCGCGGCGCACCGTATGAGATATGGCAAACTTCTCCGAACTCTGCGAGTACTGCATTGGACATTCCGTGAAATCGGGACCGAATAAACTTGCATGAGGCTTCTGACAAGAATGTTGGGTTCAGCGGAAGGCTCGGGAGCGGTGGAAGTTTCGTCACTTCTCTGTCCCAATCATGATTAGCGAGGATAAGCTACAGCCGGTGTTCCCTCCATCCATTTGTGGCTTTATCAAATTTATCCATCAGCTTCTCTAGTTCTAGCTATCGTTGGCTCTGAAGGAGCATAGTTATTGATAACTCAGTAAATAAGCCACAGAATCCATTTATCAACAGGTTTTCCGTGTCAAACTTGTGTACGAGCATCAGGCTAGTCGAACTCAGGCTTCCGCAAGCCATTTATGTGGATAAGCTTGAGGCAAGGGGCGTACCTGAGGGTTCTTGGTGTTCGGGATTCAGTTTTTGTGTATGTATTGCCGATAAAACGTGGGATGCCGATATGATGAAACTACCGTGAATGTAAGAAATCATACGTTGAGGGAAGGTGGAGGGATACCATTGCCGGTGTCGTATGCTGCACCGATAGCCAATCGGGGCAGTACTCGTGCCCAAATAAGACCCATAGCTCGCCTGCCCCAAAAGAGAATCTCACCGCACCCATTCAGTTCTAGGATGTGTCTATAGTTCGAGGGGTTCATTGTAGTACTTGGCGAGACTTTTTTGCCCACGACGTGAGAGTAATTTCCCTACCTATACTAGTCCGGCAACCGGTGGACAAGAGACTAATTCTACAAAAAGAAATGTGGGACTGCTGGCTGGGATTCCGGAATGGGGATGTTGTGGCTTGAAAATTTTTCAACACTAGTTATTGCACCTTTCTTGTTCTATCGAGTTGGATCTAGTACCGACTGTCTCCGAACTACCAAACCTTCTTGCAAACCGCCTTCAGTGCCGGTGCCGGTACTAGCCCCGCACTTCGATTCCCCTGTTCGCAATTCATGAACTACGAACCTCCCATCCGAGCCGCGCAGAACCGATGTGAGATCCCTAATTGCTCCCCTAAGGAATTTGGAAAAGAGGGCAAGAAACTTCGGTGGGAGTGACCACGAAATTGTGACAACTTTCCGCCTACTCGGGAATCCGCCCACTCCACCGGTGGAACAAAACATCTCACACTGTACCCTTAGCCAAAGGAATATATGCCCTCCAGTCTACTTGAACTGCGCCCGCTTACTGCACTAATACAGTCCCCGTACTCGTACAGCACGGGTAGTAGTTTTTGATTTTTTCCTGGATTTGCAACCCTGCAGAACCGATATCCAAGGGTCTACAAGTACCGGCAATACCCTCGTAGCGTCGGAAACCTAGACTCGCCATAAACGACCGGGTTTCCGGGGCTGATATTCTCGGCGCTGGAGGTTCCTCGGCTAGTTTTAGGCATAGGGTTTGTCTCCCGAAGGGAGGGGCTCGTCAGATTTGGTCAAAAGTTCAGCTGTATAGAGTTAGGCCAGGAGGCACGAGTACCGTACTACTTCAGCTCTAACTTGCTCCACAGCAGAACTAGAAGATCTGTCAAGGATGTTCATTGAGGGCTATGGTAGGAAGATAGCGGCAGGGTAGGTTGCCTCTGTGCAGTGCTACACCTTAGCTTTCCTTCTAGTAACAATTCTAATTACCGTACTCGTAAGAAGAAAGCGGACCACGACCTATGAGACCCTAGAATGTTACTCGAAAAGAATCAAGCCTCCATAACGAATTGATACTGCATTTCTAGTACAAATTTAGTAGAAATTCCATGCTCCGGGTATTGTTTCATGGGTAGGACTGCGCTTAATACGAGGATACGATAGACAAGTAGTACCGGTGGTCCCCCCTCGTTTACAGTGGCCCAGGCGGTTCAATTCCTCGGATTACGGTCTCCTACTTTACCCTCCATGCAGTCACCATGGAGGGGGTTCATCTACAGCGGAACGCTGATCGCTTCTCGACCTGTTCCTCCGTTTGGACTCTTACCCCAGACGAGCCCGGTACCACAACGCAAATAGTTCAGCTTTGACAATTGGCTAGGACCGGGTTTATCCAAACTAAATTTCCATTGCATGTGCTCTCAGAGCAAGCAAAGTAGGTGACACAACAAGCACAAACTACTGAAAAGAATAAAAATTTAAGCCCCCGCATGAAAAGGAAAGGGAGAGGGGGGAGAATGGTGGTTAGGCAAGGTAGATCTTCGAGTGCCGGGGCGGAGGGGGGGGGAAGAGCAAAAACCGAGTGAAACATAGCAAATCACACCAGGCCGTGCAGCGGGAAGGACGGAGAAAGCACCTACCGGTATAATCTTTAGCTTGATATAGTCAACTGAGCAATAAGACCGGCCTTATGGTTGCCAAAATACTGGTTCCTGGGACATTATAGATGCATGAGAGCCACCTCAGAGCCCAGCGCTAATATAAGCTACCTGGTTTCCCAGCTATTCAGAAGCTTTTTTTTTACTTCTCTCTCTCTCTTTCCTTCTTTACCCCCAAACTCGTTGCCCTAATCAACGCTCTTTGTCCAGTTTGACGCGATGGATATTCTTCTATCACCCCATTATAAGCTCCAGGAGGTTACGAAGGGTGATCTGAGTCTGGCGTCTATTTGTTGGGGATTTACACTTGGATTCGGGTTCCTCACGACATGGGAAGCTATCAGGCAGACTATACGAGCTAGGACCCCACTGAAGTCTATCTATGTGTGGATGATATGGGGGGAACTTTTTGTCTGCCTAGCATTCTCAATTATTTGCTGGTTGTATCTCGACGGGACAATAGGACCAAGGTAATTAAGAGTCCTTTGTAGCTCTATGGAAGAGCATATTATGTATCCACCATTTTCTAACAAATGTATAGTTTCTGGTTTTACTTTTTTATCTGTGAGTTTCGCTATCACGCGGTTTTCCGGGGGTTCGGGCATCCACAAAGGCCTATACTAACTTGATCAGTAACACTCTGGGCACTCCAAGTCCAACTCCTCCTTCAAATTATCATCAACAGAATCACGGTTATTGCAGCGGACAAACGCCGCGCGTCCACAATAAAATGGGGGGTTGCAGCATTGATCACGGCGGTAAACATCTCAGTCTACTGCATCTGGATACCCGCCCGCCTCCAAATCTCCGAGAGGTGAGCAGTAGTCATTCGGACGCTACAAGATCAGGTAACTAACAGTTTTGTAAAAAGGTACATTCACATCAATGATATCTGGGACCGCTGCGAAAAAGTCATATATCTAGTTGTCGACGCCATTCTTAACTGGTACTTTATCAACACCGTCAGGCAGCGACTCGTCAAGCAGGGTAGTGGCAAGTACAACAGACTTGTAAAGTTCAACGTTCGAATTATCTTCTTGTCGCTGACGATGGATGTGAGAAAACTATACCGATGTTCCGGGAGATGAAAGGCTAACTTTTTTTTTCCCGCAGTGTCTGATTATTGGAACTATGAGCCTTAAGAACGGTTTTGTGTTTGTCCATCCCATTCAGCCTACAATATCACGAATTTTAACTAAATAATTTCACCAGCTACATGCAATTCCATCCGCTGGCTTACACCGTAAAACTCATGATCGAAATGACCATGGCAGACCTCATCCGTACCATCGCACGAGAGAAGAACGAATTCAAGTCCGGAGGCCCAAGCTACGAGCTCAGTAACGGCGGGATGAACCGGGGGCGCCGCGACGGGCAACTCTCGCATGTCGTCGGAGTAGGAGTCGGAGGTGGAGCCGGCGCCCCCCCCTCCTCTGGCGTAGTGGTCCAAAAGGAGGTTATTATCGAAAGCTGCAGTTTGGACCAATCCAGCGAAGCATCAACTTCGAAAGACACCGTTCATAACCAAGAGCAGGAAGATGATTCACCATTGCGGAACGAAAGCTGGGAGAGAGTTGCCTACAACACTACAAACATCAGCAGTCATTAGACGACGATTTATTTTTCTTGATTCCCTCTGTTTCTTTGGGCTTGCTCCAGATGAGATATATGTGAGGTTACGGTCTTGATACTTACAGTGGATCTGGAGTCTGTTTTTTGTTACCACTAATTATGATCTCTTTATTATTTTTCCTGGAAAATTTCGATGTTTATGTAGTTTATTGGTCTACCATTTGTTGTCAGTATTCACTTCATGTATTATAAGATTCTTTCAATATGGTTCAACAATATTGCCTTGATAATAATAATAATTTTTGGTGGAAGAAGAAAATGAAAAGTGACGAGGAGTAACGCTGTCTGCGTATGAGAAACCACTGTCCCTCACTACCAGTGTCAGCGGTTTTGGAGGCGCTATACAATAAATCGAGTAGCTGTATCTACGCTTGGCCGAGACCCAGTTTGCCTTGTTTCAAGAATATCTTATTCAACCGCCCCTCGTTACCAGTCCACTAGAATAACTGAAAGAAGGCCCCCAACGTGTGTCCGGAGTCCGAGAATCCCAGCAGAACATTGATCCAAATACGATAACTCCATCAAACTCTTTCTAACTACGGGCACCTTCAGCCCCAATAAACTAGGAATACGAGTGATGAATTATGACCACCATGATCTCTGACGTGTGGCCGAATCGCCTATGGCCGGCACGTCTTTTTTGTGACCAAACACCGGTATGCCGGGCTCTCTGCACTAGCATCGGTGCACTGTACTCGAGTATCATACAAGCACAATACCGGTAATACGGCATCCACACAAAGTCATGATACCTACCCGTTATCCCCTCGTTCCCGACGCCATCTATACACTCACACCCCGTTATCCCGGACGGCCAAATCTAAAGAATCTGTCCGGTACAGCGGGTTATCCAGAGCAACGAATCAAGTTTTGCTGTGGAAAATTCTGGAATTCACAACATTTCGTACGGGACAGCGAGGTATCCGTATTATAGAGATCCGGGACAGCGGGGTTTGAGTGTACTCTGGAACGAAAACGAGAATCAGCACGGGTCTTGGCAGGGCCTCCGTGGCTCCCTGTAAATTTGCACCAAGCCGCGAAACGTAAATCTTCCACGACCCACCAATCGGAGATTCCATCTATGGACTTGCCATCGCAAGTTTAGATCACCGATCCAACCATTACCCGGCGCAGTCGCACTCCACCATCCCGGATCCCGCTGAACCGGACAGAATCTTTGGCTCCCCCAATTCCCCACAATAATTGCCCTGTTGAACTGGAAAAGGGTACCCCCGGATTGGTGTGAGATTTCGGGAAACCCATCCGCTGTTCCTGCAGAAAATTAACCAGCTGGACCAGATTCTATAACTACTAGCTGAAAAGCTAGTCTAAGAGAAGAAGAAAAGGTGGGGCTGAAGGTAAAAGTGGTGGAATAAAAGAGTAAGGTGTTACTGAAGATAAAGAAAGAGGAAGCACAAAGGGTACTGTACACTCAAACCCCGTAGTCCCGGATCTCCATAATACGGATACCTCGATGTCCCGTATGAAATGATGGGAGTTCAAAATTTTCCATAGCAAAACTTGACTTGCTGTTCCGGATAACCCGTTGTGCCGGACAGATTCTTCAGATTTTGGTCGTCCGGGATGGTGCGGTGTGAGTGTACATATAGTGAGAACAGCAGGATAGCGGTGCTTGAAAACCCCCGACAAACGATAATTCACCAGTTCCTCAAGCCCCAAACCTCCGCTACCGGCCCCGTCAATCGATAGGAAAAAGAGCTGGACCAAGATAGAGACAGAGTATACCACTGGCTGTGACCCAGGGGGGGAGGAAGATGGGACATCTGTGCCTACCAGTGGGATAAAAAATAGTGCTAATACCGTCTATGAAAATTTGTTGAGATTAAGCTTCTTGTAAGAATAAGAATACACATTCTCTATTTTTCTTCAAATAATACCCTCTCCCTCCGGTTCCGGACGAAATCTGTGAAATCTGAACATCCGAGATAGCGGGGGTGCTCCTGTATTTGTACGGTACCACAATTCCTTAGTTATAATAGAAGAATTCTGAGCGCTAGCTCTCCACCAGACGTAAGTTGAAGCCCATTGTTCTTTCCGCAGGTAGAACTCACCAACGGGAGTACATAGTACTATTCTCATAATGTAGTCGTACCGTTGCTGCCATGACGGTACCCAGGATGAGATAGAATCTGCACTAACGATGATGAGGTGGCTACTCGAGTATGATGCAGTAGCCCATCGCCAGAGCCATAATTCTTGGGCAGTGGATCGTTTGGCCAATCATTGCGCGATACAGCGCGATGGCATCTCAGATCCATGACGGTGAACTTGCGGAAAACGCGGTGTCTGTCATAAATGTACAGCAAACTGCGGATGGGCCAGCCCCGGATATTTTTCACCCAGAAATAGTCGCAATTTTGGAGACTGCTTTGAGCTTGTGAGATCGGAACTTTTCGAAAAGACCGCCTGTTGATGTGAGCTATTATACCACATAAACTATAGGAGCCCAAATTGCGCTCTACATAAGTTACTCCATGACAGGAGACTCCCAAGTCCATCAATGACGTGAGTGGTAAAACCCCGATCCCTAGATCATCGGCCGCTCGAACGTACTGTTCGGTGGGAATTAATGAGGGGGCCAACAGTGGGTTCATCAATCACGTTGGCTCTTTATCATTTTGGTGTGGCTTTGCTGTGTTGTCACAAAGCGATGTGCTGTGCGTTTTGTTTAAGAACTGCATCTCGTGTTGGGGAAACACCGCAAACCAGGCTAAATCACCGAGGAAAAAGATTGCCGTTCTGACTACACTTTCCATATCAAGCCTTTCACGAGCCACTATCCTCCATAAATGTATCCACAAATAACTAAGAATCTAAGAAGTCAAAGTCTAGGCGCTGTTTGTCAACCTAGCAAGCGCCTTTCGAGTGTAGGCGACTCCTCTAGAGCTAATCTCAGGTCTTCGCGCACACCAATCTGCATGAAAATACCCAAGACTCCAATATATTGCTCACAATAAATAGGAAAGCCTTGTATGCAGGATTTGGTAGTAGTAGGATAGTATGTTGCTCTGTTCCAAGCGACAAGAAACGTGTAAAATGGACAAGTGGGGATAAGTTGTGTCGTCACAGTTTACACATGTAAGTTAACGGTAACTTGGATATTTGCGTTGCCAGTGATCAAGGATAATAGCCTATTCCATAATCTCACCAGACTGCCTTCGTACGGGAGGGGGTATTCCGGATTTACTTTTATGCTTTGCGCATGTCTTTTTTTTTTCCTCCCTAGTGGTAGGCTGGGCGTGTTTGATAGGCCTAAAAATTTCCTTACCGAGATAAACACTCATAGTGTGTCACTCGGGGACTAGTGATTAGGAGAGGAGTGTGTGAATTTTGAGTAATTTCCCCGTTTCAGATTTACAAGAAAACAGCCCTCACAGAGAGGTGAGAATTGAAGTGGAGTGATTGAAAATAGATTAAGCTCTAAAGATCAAAGACAGAGGTCCCGGGATTTGAGCCAGCTTTAATGTCAACCTCTAGCTGAGCCGACATTCACCCCTTCAAACTCTCCCGAAACTCCTCCTCGGTCTGCACATCTACCTTCAAATCAAAGAGCCAGTGATCTTTTCCGTTACCCTTTGTGTTTTCCACCTTCTCGTCGATAGCCTCGAGCTCATTCTCCTTCTGGGGAACTTTTTTGACGGTGGCCTCTGCCCTCTCGGCTCTCTCCTTATGATCTTCCCCCCTTAGGACTTTGCTAATCAGCCAATCCCGAATTTTCCTAAGAATCCACAGGTCCCCCATCACGGCCACACCAAGCCAGAATCCCAGGTCTGTGACTTTCTCCGAACGCTCCTTTCTCTGACCTTCAAAGTACTCGATTCCGACCAGCTCTGGGCGGACATCCATGTCCCCTCCCCAGGCACTCCTGAGCAAAGCATTGCACAAAACGAGTGACTCCTCAATGCCCATCGCAGCACCCTGCCCATGGAAGGTATTCATAGGATGAGCCGCGTCGCCGATCAGCACTACGTTGCCATCTGAAATGCTGCGAAAGAAAGTATGATTGATGCGAACTTTCATGAACCTTTCTGAGCGGGACGTGATCTCGGAAAAGTTGACCGTGGGCAGCTTACATTTTTCCGTGGACGCAGTATACTGACAGCTATCATACGACCTCATAGTATCGAGCGCTTCCTTATCCGTATACCTCCCTCGACCAGTGCTCGAGGGAGGCGAAGGCTGGTAACATATCCAGAATACCCTCCCCTGTTGAAGCGAATATGTAGTGTACGCCCCCGGAACGTCACGAAGAAACCAGTGCATGGTCCCCAACCCTCCATCATCGCCACGAACCGTCAATAACTGTGCGGGCAACTGCCTCGTGATCCCATACAAAGCAGTCCAGTGCGTTGGCGAACACTCCCAAACTTTCCTATTAGGCCTCACCAGCGCGATAGCCGGTGTGACAAGACTAAATGGGAACATTGTACTAAACGGGCATCTGCTTGGCTGATCCACCTTCCCCCTTAGGTTCCCATACATCGCCCTTCGCACGCCAGAGTATACCCCATCAGCACCGATAACGTACTCCCCAGAAACTACCTCCCCAGAAGCAAACGTCACCTCAACACTCCCATCATCCAGCGTTTTATAGCTCTTAAAATCGCAATTATAGTGCACCCTCCCGCGCAATAACGAGTACTTCTGCAATAGTGAAAGTTGCAGCGGCCCTCGCTCGACAGTTTGGAGCGTATGGGGGTCCGGGAGCAAATTCTCTGCTTCCGCGATGATGGCCTCCGGCTTCGATGCGTGGTGCAGGACAGTTCTATTCAGTGGCATACCGATGCCCTCACGAACTAGGTCGAAATTTAAACCGCGAAGAATGTGGATTGCGTTTGGGGAAAGGTTTATGACGAAGCCGGATTTTGTGATATCGTCTAGGGATGGTGACTTTTTTGTTGTTCATATTAATCTCTAGATAGAGGCCCTTGGTGGAAGCGGGAGGCGAGGGAGCTAACAATTACCTTCTCAAAAATGACTGGCTCGTAGTATGCTGCGGCATGAGTTAGTAGCTGCACGCCCAGCGATAGTCCCGTCAATCCTGCTCCAACGATCAACACCCGTTGTCTCTTATTCTCCGGCATTGGGAAGTAACCGGGCTTGCTTGATTTCTCCTTCGATAGGAAAAGGAAGGAAGGGAGAGCGAGGGCGCGAGCTGGGCGTGGGCAGGTAGCTGCTTAGACAAGTTGATCAAAGAAACCGCCGTTAATATTGTTCTTGCTAGATATTGTTCCGCGAATGGACGCGTAACTGGAGTTAGTTACACCCAGGGAGCGCCAAGAGACGCGATGGCAGTGGGCAGTTCTGATAGTGGTGGTGGCAGTGACGATGGCTCCAGGGGGGAAAGTTTGTTACGCTTTAGTTTGTGGAATGTAAATGTTTCACAGGGCAAGTGTCACGGGTGAGAGAAAAGTTTATTAGGTGAGGGCAGACTATACCGTGCCCAGACACAGAACGGTCGCTTTTACAGTACCTTACCGTATTCCCCAAGTTCCTGTTCTAGAGTGAAGTGTGTAATGTAGGATGAGGGCTGAATTTTGCCCGAGTGATCGATAGTGAGTTACTCTGGTATTCGTTTTAATTGATAATTTTGCTACTAAGGAATTTCTATGTGTAACTACTACTATATCTGGATAGCTAGTAGAGATCCTTACCTAATTTACTAGGTAGTTGCTTTACCAAACCGATTGAGCAGGCCCTTGGTATCTGAGTGTGGTATCTTATCTTGGCGATCTTATAGGACAATTCATTCGCTGCTCATGCAGACTACAAAACGAATGACCCAGTAGGGGGAATACTCAGTCAAGAAGAGGGGTTACAACTCACAGTGCAGTCTACAACATTAACAGACGAACCGTTTGAGTCCAATTTTACACCCGAGGGGTATGAGCGGGAGTTTGCTACTGGCTCTGGTTGATTCCCGATCTCCGAAGATCATTGGAAGGTTTCTGAAAGAACCGGGAAAAATGTGAAAGCATACAAAGACCACCGCGTGTGTCACAAATGGAGCTGGAGGCATTCATCCCGGGGGTAGTCGGGTGCCGAGTTTCGAGTTTCGAGTTGAATTATCAGTTTTGTAGGCGAAAAGACGTTACACACGCAAAAGCCCTTCGACGAAGAACTTGCATAAACCTGAATTCCTCCTCTAACTTGCAGTACCGGTACAGTACAGGTATCTCTTGATCGGAATTTAACTTTTCGGGAGATTTGCACTCGACCAATATCATTATGTCATACATTAGAGTAAAAGCTGCAACAGCCTATCGTATGATCCCATAGCACTCAGTGGCCCGATAAACTTGGGAGGGCGTTGGTTCTGGTTTGATAGAACTTGTTATGATAGGGAAATGTGGAAAAGACTCTTATGATATGCTACCCGTATCATATCTATCAACCCCCAATCCACTGTGACTGTCTTGTACGACAGGTTATTTGTGGGGATCACTACATTCCTTCCGGCTCCTTCCATATCCATCCTCCAGAGGCCTTGGCGCACATCTTTGTGCATTCCATGCGCTATTAAATGTATCACATCGCTGTACTATACTCGTAGGATTCACAGATTCCGGTGGTTTGTTCGATTTGGCAGAGCCCTTCCCATTCACCAGCCATCGCAAACTGAGTCCACCCCACCTCCCTTCGGCCCATAAATCCTGTCGACTGGCTCCCCATTCCTCCCTCTCAAACATTCACCACCTTTCCGCCTCGCGCCGGGGGAAAAACAGAAAAATGTTTCCTCATGTCCCTCTACCATCACCAGTCTCGACGCAAAGACTTTCCATCGGCAATTATACCAACTCTTTTAATACAAGCCTCGATATGAAAGTCTCGGGCAACTCTTCTCCCGACAAAAGGCCCGAAATTCCTCCATGGCCACCCCCGCCTAAGCCCCGCATACGGCATCAGGACATTCAAACCCACCGTGGCGGACTCGGTGGGGACTGGCTTTTGCAAAGCGACGAGCCCATCGAAGCGGTACTAGCGAAAATAGATCTGATAACCCTGTCTTGTTTTGCTATGGAGAGCCGGGGGTCGGGAAGACTTACCGGGAGTTGGGAAGACATACCGGGAGTGGGGAAAACATACCGGGAGTGGGGAAGACATACCGGGAGTGGGAAAAACATACCGGGAGTGGGGAAAACATACCGGGAGTGGGGAAAACATACCGGGAGTGGGAAAAACCTACCGGGAGTAGGAAAAACCTACCCGGAGTGGGAAAAACCTACCCGGAGTAGGAAAAACCTACCCGGAGTGGGAAAAACCTACCGGGAGTGGGGAAGACATACCGGTACATCAGGTGAGAGACGATCCGCGAAGAAAGGGAATAAAACAAACAAAGCAAAGGCTAACAAGCCACGATTTTAGTTCCTTGGTGGTAAACAGCACCGCTTATCGGGTCAGAAGACGGAGTATTGCAGTTGCCTGTTTCTACTTTGATTTTCACTACAGAAAGAGCAATCTTCGACGAATATGCTAGGTGCCACAGGCCCTAGTAGTTAAAAAATACTCCAGGTTTTCCAAAACCAGAAAAAGGTCACCCGGATCACCGAGTCAAGCTTCTTGATTCGCTAAGCCAAATTCTTCAGAAGTCTCCAGGCACTCGAATATCCCGGTTCATGACAGGAAGACCACATATTCATGACTGGGAGACCACATATTCATGACCGGAAGACCACACATCCGGGGTGACCCGGGGTGAGATTGAGAAGCATCATGCTGGGAGATCAGCAATTGTATCCATGAGGCCGGGGGAGCAGATATTCTAACACCCGACGCCATTTCCAGAACTGTAAGTGGAATCAGTCAGACCGAGCACTCCTACTTTTGAGATGTCCGCTGACAACTTCACGCATGTAGATATTTTACAGATTTCCTGAAAACGATCGACCAAAGGAGGCGGCAGCTGCGGATCGCGGCACTCGATGGCTTTGGGCTTGGATGGCTGTCACACTCTGGCAGTCGAGATAGGATCAACGGATCTCAATACCGACAATGTCCCTTCGACATAGACATTGCTAGGCTGCTGTCAAGGGCTTATCACCACAGATGGTGGCGCTCCAACAGTCCGCCTTGTCCATTTCACTCTACAAGAATATTTAAGCACCCAACCCAACATGACGACACACCGGCTCCCACATTCCAAACAACCACGACTGAAAGCCACCGTGCATGATCATTGTGGAGGGCTAGAGCTGTTGGGGAGTGCGAAAGGCTTTAGCCCCAGAATTGCCTAGGGGGGGAGAGAATAGGGTTTCTTCATGTATTTGAATGTGGAACACAATGTACTCCGATAGTGTTATAGATATATTGGTTAATGCCAACTTCTACTTGATTGTTAACTGTCTAAAACGTGTGACACTGCCTTGTGTGCTCGGCTGCGAATATTATGACAGTTCAGTAGAGTGAACCCGGCCAAGCAAGCCTTTCCGTAACATGCGCTGCACCCCCAAGCCTCACCTCAAAGAAACATTCCAACTTATTGAAAAGTCCCATTAGTTTATTTCAACCATCAGCCGTCAAACGGAGTCTAAGAAGCAAACTATAGCACGAGGGTAAAATTGAGCCCCCCAAACTCCTCAGTGCTAAAGTATATCATACTCAAATATATTGTCCGGACTAGACGCGCAAAAACAGATTCTTCTTTGCTCGAAGTGGTCAAATGCGCTCCACGTTGGCGCACCCCATACCCATGTTTCCAATAGAGGCTTCCATTCACTGCGCACAAAACTAGGATCTCCCCATAGGGAGTTGTATCCACCGGCCCAACCAGAAATCTGAAATTGATAGCGTAGCCAAAACCGCCCCGTGGTCATGACCCGTTTGAGGAACTTTACGGCACAGTAAATTAGCCCCGCACTCTCCCCCACCACCTGCAAAGCAACAACGCCCCCAACTCTGCCAAGAAAAGAATGCTCTATTTCAAGCCCCCAAGGGTTCTTCAATCACAGCTCCAATGAGAATTATGATTCTCTTGCATGATAGAGCGGATGACTCTCTACATTCCTAGAGAGAAGGCGGGAATACCTCGGGTGTTCGTGGAGATATTAAGACTTCGGAGCAGGCCAAATCTGGCATGCTAGAGGGGAAATATTGTCTGTGCGAAAGCCAAGACTGCGGGCCGCTTGGCTATGACAGGCACCCTCCCAAGATACCGGTACCGGTACTAGTGTCCGTACAGTACCCGTAAATTACGGTAATGTGGGGCACGGGTGGCCTACGGCCAGATCCTAAAAAGTGTGCCAACCACCCCCCCCATTGCACTCGTGCTGTACAACGCGCTTGATGTGTCTTAAGACAGTCTCCATTATTTATTTATGCAACCTCTCGCTCAATCCCTCTCATGAAAGCATCAACAGCCCCGTTCCAACACCTCATACAAAGAAACCCTCCCAACACCGAATCCATCAAGGCCGTGAGCCACAGTCCTTTCATTAGGTCAAAGATATGATACGAACGCTAGATAAAGCCCCGTCATCCACCGCCCCGGGTCCAAACGGCTACACCACGACCTGACATCCTTTACAAGTAAACGAATTCATTTTTGCACGATCCCATTGTTCCACAGTGTGCACACTCCAGTTACCCGCGCCGTACCTTAAATAATTTAGAAGGCTGTGTGAAAATGTTTATGCCTTCTCTCCGAGGCCTAATAAACTCCACCGTTTTTCTCAGCCTTCCTGCGTCGTCCCCCCACCCCCGTGTCCACAGAATAAATTATAAGGTTTGATGCTTTCGATGGCCGGAGGAAAAATGTGCAGAATACGGCGCCTAGCACCCTGTTGTCTAATACCCCTGGCTTACCGCTCGTTCAGGGATGCGGGTGCACTTGTGCTTGGCTTACTTCATATGCCAGTTCCTAGCCTTACCTTCCTCATCTAACCATTCTAAATTTCCAAAGCACTGTCTCGGTCAGCCTGGGATGCACTTACAGGACGGGTTCGGATAGGAAATATCTACCCCTTATCATCGTCCCAAGCCTGAGGAGCCCTTCTTAGCCTCCTAAAAAGCAAATGTATTGGGTTCATGGCAAAGGATTGGGGTGGCGCTTTTTTTTTTAGTGCGCCTTCACTCGGGCAACATAAGTAACGTCTTGTAGGAATCACAATGAATCACACACTGCTCGTAGGATTCCAGAATACTAATCAATCCGACCCCCGTGATACATAAATGCAAATGCACCCCAAGCTTCAGAGCATATAGGGGCCTTATTTCAAGTCCCACATTAACATCTAATACTCGAGAGAAAATAAGAGACACAGCCCAGACAAAGGGAAGAAACAGAATACATCGTAAAGTAAGGTCCAACCCCACCTCCAGAAAAAAAAACCCCCATTCTAACGTTTAAATCCCGGAGCTGTAGAGCTTCCACATACTCATTCCAGTCGTAACCGCCAAACCGATCAGTCCAATATAACTGAACACACCCTTATACCTCCCTTTCCCACTACTGTTATGCTGGCTACCGACATAGCCACGAGCATACACAATCCTACCAACAAGCCAGATCCCTAAGAGCGAGGACGAGGCCGTGGGGTACTGAACTGCCGAGGCGAGGAAAGACGGTAACACGACAGCGAGGTTCTCAAGGTAGTTTGAATGTGCCCGTTGAGCGCAGTTGAAGCGAAACTTTTCCTTGTCCTTGATGGCCTCCTCGGCACTCGCATAGGCGTTCGGGTAGGGGACCTTCGAGGCCTTGCGGGCGCCACCAACCATCAAAATGTGATATTGGCTTACTAGAGTCGTCGCAAAGAGACCGGCTAGGACGTAGCTGGGATTGATATATTAGCATCTGAGGGACGACAATAGGGAATGAAGGAATCACCTGTACTCCTGTGGGATGGGTGGGAGAGACATAGTGTGAATTGGTTACTCGTTATCGTGGAGAGTTGCGATGGAGGGGACTGATTTGGGAACAGTTGCTTTGCTTTCTATTAAGGAGGAGGAGGGATGCATCTGCCTTTTTATCACACCCTCTGCCCTCTACCCCGCAAGTCACTACGGGGCACCTTTCATCACCGCCTCAGCCTTCTCCCGGTACGCCGACGACTGGGTCGGAATAACTTCTTTTCCGTAGCTAACATCCACCCCTTTCCCAGCCGATACTAGGATGCTTTAGCTCCAGAAGGTTCTAGGAGAAAAGGCAAGGGCCCACACGGAGTTGTAACCTGTGGGGTTTCAGTTAATTGGATCGGGCACGGACAGACCAGACTCCGGAGCAGACAGGCATCATAAATGTGGTGTATTGAGTGGGGGGGGGGGGGGAAGATCTTCTACAGCCTATCACAATTGCTGAATTACATAGCGGTACGGGAACCCAAGGCGCAGTACAGCACAGTACTGTACAGTGCCCGTTGCCTAATGTTTACAAGTGCTATAGATAAAAACTTGAGAAAGGAAAGGAAAAAACAATTGAGCCAACATAATATTATAATAATGGCCCGAAGATTCCCATCCCATCCCGTATTCCGGGATACAATACTCTTGAGATCAGAGCACAAAGATTGTAGCGTCTAGCTCGTACTCGGGTATGGACGTGGGTGACCGGACAGCCAGGGATTCTAGAGGCCTGACCGTTCTTGCCCTCATAGGAAATAAAAGAGTGAGTCTGGCATGAGAATTGCTCAAACAAGCAAGAAGCTTTGACACCTCTAATCCCTGGCTGTCCGGTCACCCACGTCCATACCCGAGTACCGTACAAGCACTATAGGTATACGAGTGTATACCACAGCACAGCCTACTTACCTCTATCGGCCGGTAGTTTCGTATTACAAAGCTGATCAGACGCCAAAGCACCAGATAATCTCAGGGGGGGCCCCCCTCCCCCGCCAAATATCACGCAGTAACCCACGGGGTAAGGTACAGTTGGGCTTTGCATCACATCACCTCACTCGCCCACTAGCCTCGGCCTCCGATTAGCCGTGGCTACTCAAACATGCAAGCTGCTCACGGAATTCCGTTGAGTGGGCTAGTGCGGAAGTTTGTGCCACCGCGCGGGGCAATCGGTCGCCACTTGGCCGATGGAGGTGCTACCGTAGCACGGGACAGCACAGCAGTTATTCGTTTACTGTGCATGGTTTGCCAGGTTTGGCCGACTGATGGGCAAGCATTGTTGATGTTCTACCGGCGGGCTGAGGTTTTGCCGATGGGTTTAAGCCTCGGAAATTGCGGGCTAAATTTAAGGACGATTGATCCATTCCTATGCACAGTAAAGTGCGCCCGTATCGAGAGCCAGGAGCATCTCGATCTCCGACCTCCCTAATCTCCAGGTAACGGGACGAAAATCCTCCGGGGAGGGTTGGGGCTTTCCTAACATGGGATAGCCCGAGCCCTTTGGGTGTACAGTATTGAATTCCATTAACCGGTTTTTGCAAGCCCGTCAACCCGCCAAACTAAACCTATCCTGTGCTAGTGCGGCGATTTCTACTAATAACCGCCAGCAAATCGTAAGAGTCTTTTGTATGATACGGGGTGATGCTTCTAAAAATCTATGACATCCTCATCTTCAATTCATCTTTTACTTCTCCCACTTCCGCTTCTAACCTTTCCAGCCTCCGCATAAGCACCTTAAGATCACCCTCTCCCGTAGTAGCAGTACCGGGCTTCGGAATCTCCAAAACCTTCCGACCCCCCCCCCTGGGAAAAACCTCCACAGCATCCTCCTCAATAACCCTAACGACCCTTGCGGGATTCCCCGCGACTGCACACCCTGGCGGAACATCCTTCGTAACCACACTGCCCGCGCCAACCGTGCTCCCGCGTCCGATCCTCACACCTGGCAGGACAGTTACGTTCCCGGCTAGCCAACAGTCCTCCTCTATCGTGATGGGCGCGCCGTATTCCGGCCCGCGCAGCCCGTCCCGCGTCTTTGCATTAAGCGGGTGCGCGGCAGCGAAGAGGCTGACATTGGGTCCCAGAAGCGTGCGCGCGCCGATGGTAACTCTGCACGTGTCCAGGATCGTGCAACCAAAGTTTATGAATACGTCTGGTGATATGGTGGTGTTGTAGCCGTAGTCGGCTGTGAACGGCGGCTCTATCCAAGGTTCTTGGCACAGGGTGGAGGAAGGGGTGGTGGGGGGGAGGGGAGGTTGGTGTAGGATGCTGAGGTGCAAGTTAGCCCGGGGCGATAGGGAGGGGCTGGAGGAGGTAGCACGCTCGGAATAGGTTTGCGCGCTCAAGACGCGGCGTTGTGTGCGTGGTTTTGTTGAATGACTGGCAGGCCCCCGCACAGGAGGCTCGTTCCGCTGCTAGCTCGTCGACGAAGGCGTAGTAGAGCTCGCCCGCGAGCATTTTCTCTTTCTCTGTTCGTTTAGACATACCCTCCGTGGATTACTTGCGTACCGAGCTTGGGGTTGTGGGATAGTATTGCGGGGGTTGATATTCAAGTTGTGGTCGATGCTGCCAGTCGGATGAGACTACTCGAGTACAGTACTCGTGTCTCCGAGCCAAGAATGGGCACCTCTTTTGGAATAGCCTCCCCAGATCCATTTATGGTAAAGTCTTGATGCTGCTTTCAAAAGAAGTTAAGACACCACCAAGCAGTGTAAATAAATACTGTGAATTCACCAATCTCCCCTCCCCCGTCCCCCCTCCCTCCCAGTAGTGAACTGCCCTATTAGGCATTGAACCTGTTATCACCTCCACAGGCTTGGACTTGTGAAGAGCAATAATGGTACCAGACATAGCCATGGTAAGGCTCTTTCCCTTCATCATAGCACTGTTCATAGTATCAATTTCTGAATTTGGCACAATTGAGTGAAAGCACTTACATTGGATGAGAACCAGTCTTGTTTATGAAATTTTGAGAACGTTCATGGTAGTTTTATCGTACATTGATATTACCCTGCCCAGTTACTGGCATCTTGCATCACTCTCACTGTCTTTCAAATAGCATGAACACTTTACTACTTTTGGGAGCATATGGCCTATTCCCAATCAGGTGCCCATTCTTGGCTCGGAGACATGAGTACTTGCAGTTTTATGATATCTAAACCGATGAGGATCTCTTCCATTTTTCGCCTCCCTCTACTCCACCCCGCAGCTGCTTCGTTGTTACGGGTATGATATCATACCTCGGGTAGCCACTCTGTCTCCGAATCCGGGACCAGGCGCCCGATAGAGATACGGTATAATACTCGAGTAGCGGATTGTATTGTACAAGTACTGAACAGTACTCGTACAGTACAGTGAAGCAGGAGCTTTCTAAGCATCATTATTCTTATTCTAGTTCCCTTCAAAATATAAAAAAATATAAAAAATGACAATTGTGGTCTGTTTATAATTACCGTTGCGTAGTTTGTTTGCCCACAGTAAATTATATCCATCATATCCTTCTATCGCGCGCACCCGTTCGTCCATATTCACAACCTTATACCCGGGCCGAATATGGGTAGTTGTTGCAGCGTGGAGGCCAAAATGCACACCGAAAAAGCTCTGAAACCCTCGGGAAAGGTGGATATCTTGCAGCCTTGAGCGAGGCGGATGGCCTTAGGTTTGCCCGATATCTCTTCAGCCACGGGTAGTACCGTACTGCACTGCCGTGGGCTCCCGCTGTGACGTGGACAGCAGGAAACATCTATTATAGGCGATTGCCACACTTGAATTATTCCTCCTGATCTTACTCGTAGAATGCCGGTGTGGATGCGTCTCGGTTGACATCTGGGATTTGAATGGATGTGTTTGACTGAGCTGGCGCCTGTGGAAAAATCACAGTACGGTACAATACGGTGATGAATGTAGAAGCAAAAGAAGAGAACCAGAACCTAATTTAGACGGAAAGGAAACATTGTTTATTTCCTTGTTGGTATGGGGGTGTTCGTCCTCCCCCTATGGGGGGGGGTGGCTGGGTGTGGATGTGTCTCTCTCCTCTCTAGAACAGGGAGGGAATTTCACGATCCTTTAATAGAGTTTCTAAAGTCCCATTCGTTGTTGTCTAAAGGAAAAAAAAATTAAGTTCAGCCCGGTCCAAGGGCCCCTCTACACGGATATCTACGAGTGCGAGAAGCCCAGTGTCCTTTACCCAACCTAAGTGAAGAAAAATAATATTAGAAATCCGACAAGCCCCAACTATCTACACTATACAGCAACTAGACAAAAGTCTTGGTGATGCTGAGTAAGTGATGACTCAGCAATGTTATGATAAATGTACCCACCTCTGGCACATGAATTTTGAACATATCATACCCGAGAACGTTACACACAATGCCATCCAAAAAGTCAGCAGTTTCGAGTTACAAGCCAAAAACAACCCGGAGGGAAATGACAGACATCGAGAAAGGCATGATAATTGCCTTTTTTCATACCTTTGAAAAGATCTCTGTTGTAGCAGCACTTGTTGGCCGTCCATGGTCAACAGTTCGAAACTTTCTTGCCTGCTCCTGTGACCAAGGAAACATCCAAAACGCACCTCGCTCAGGCAGGCCAGTTATTCTCAATACCAGCGACCGTCGAGCCATTGTACGAGCTGCCTAAAAGGACCGCAGCATGACTCGGTTGGAACTCCGAAATCACCTTGCACCACATGTTTCAGTCCGTACGATCGATCGCGTATTACGCGAAGCTGGGATTAAGAAATGGATAGCCCAGACACGACCACGGCTGACACCTGCTCACGCAAGAAAGAGATTAGCATGGGCAACTGCACGAAAAGATTGGACTGCAGAAGATTTTCAAGGAATCCTCTACAGCGACAAGTGCACTGTGAGAAAATCTACAAACTCGGCACAGAAGTGGGTTTTTCGAACCCCGGAGGAGAAATGGCACGCAGAATGCATTAAGCCTCGAGGAAAGGCTAATGATGTGGGGTTAATGGTGTGGGACTGTTTTTGGGGCTCTCAGCGGGGTCCTCTAGTACCTATTTTAGACGACACGGTAAACCGTTGGGTTTATATTACCCTGTTAAAAAACCACCTCCCCTCCGTCCTCCATGAAATCGATGCTGCTGTTGGGGATCCACTATTCCAACAAGATAATACACCAGTCCACAAAGCACGAGATACAATTAGCTGGTTCGAAGATAATGGAATCAACCTTGAGGATCACCCACCATTGTCACCAGACCTCAACCTAATCGAACATGTCTGGGTTCAACTAAAGCGCCGCCTTCACAGCCAATATCCAGATATAGTGGAGACAAGAGGAGGATCAGAGAAGATTAGGGAACGGCTTGCGGAAGTCCTTCCACTTATGTGGGAAACAATTCCAGGGTCTTTTTTTGAGAAACTCTGGCATTCAATGCCCTTTTGAGTTGCTGCTGTTATTGATGCCAAAGGCTGGTATACACGATACTAGTTTTCATTCTTAATTCCAAGTCTTAATATTTAATGTTTAATCTTTTGTCTTATGTGTTTTTTTGTTTTTTCCATTGAATCGGGAATGAGAGTGGTGGGTTGCCTGTTGGGCCAGTGGGTGGTATTGCGCAATGAGGAGGGCACGGCCAATATATCATATTGCGCCATCACCAAGACTTTTGTCTAGTTGCTGTACCCCTAAGGGAAAGGTGTCTCTGTCTTGGCCAACTTAAAATCTTCCTCCGAGTATGATACCAGTATTCGTGCTGTAGGACACTCGAGTAACCCACAGGCAGTGCATACGGTGCTCGAGTGCAGTGCGGTCTCCACTGGGGGACATGGCGAAACCGGGCGGATGGAGAACAAGGGGTATCGCACAGTATGGGCATAAAGAGAAATCGTCAAAACGGGGTGAACAAAAAATAAATTTCCCTATAGATAATCCCCATTCCCTAGCCTCCTAATTTCGCAACGACCCCTGTGAAGAATGTGTTTTGTCCCGGGGTCTTCGAAAGGGCCAGGCTCATAAAGTTCACTTAATGGTGACCCACCCAAGGAATGTAAGGCCCCAAGGAGTTTTCAATCTTTCGCTCAGGCGGTATGATACTCTCTCCCTATTCAGCTCGGGGATGGATTCCTGAATACAGGCGAAGGGATGATTCTCAGCTCGTTGGAAGGGCGGAAAAAGCACCACAAGAAACCTATCAACGCTTGACCGCAACAACTATTTCCGTCGGCCCCTATTTAGAATCAATCGGCGAGCAAATCCGTGGTTCAATTTCAAAAAAATATGATTCTCCGATTGAGCACTCGAGTGTATTTATAAAAACCGGAAAACGCAACCCTTGTTTCCATCAAAACCTACAGGGGCCCGGCAGAAACAGTTTTCCAATTCCAAACACGCCATGCCCGAGAGTAGTACTAATGTATTGCACTAGGAATTCTGAATTTTAGTCAGCAAATCGATGGATTCTCTTGGCTTTTATCATACGGTGTCAGGAAAGGCGGCGTCCGGGCGTCACACCCCATGATTGGGTATGATATCCGGCGGGAAGGTGTCGGATTTGGGAGGAGATTTGGTATCATACGCTGGGTTGGGAGCGATCGTCAACTGAAGTCGCGGGGTACAGGGAAAGTATTCAGAGTAGGCTCTGGGGTTTCACTTCAATCGCCAAGAGCTGCATGATAGAACGGGGAGGATGGGGCTCGCCCCCACAGTGGCCCATAGGCTCTACTGTATGTCTCGGCCATGGGGGCCGGCAACGACGCCCGCACGCTCCCGCCCCGATCTCACACTTCCCACATCAGATACAGGTAAATTTATCATTAACCTTGCACCTTATAGGCTCCTTGTCAATTGAGACCGCGATACCGTATTATCTCCGCATGTTATGGATACAGCCTTGGGAACAGAAACAATAAAGAGTATATCTCATGTCATTGCTCATCGTGAGATAATGCAGGCACCATGGCACGCAAGCTCCTTCGGATTAATCATTTCTTCTCGCTCGAGACTATGACCAACCGCCCCATACCCCTTGGGCAAGTGCACTGCGGTATCGTAACCAAATAGGCGCCACATAATTTGACTGCTAATGCTCTCTCTAGTCATGCAACTCCCCCCGCACTCAATCCGCCGCCTTGACATCCCGAGCATAAACTGGCTGAGAGCCAATTTCTCATCTTCCGAGTGACAGAGCGTGGATTTCGCGTTCAAACACGTTTGTTTCCCACACCTCAAATCTGACGCATGAGGTAAGCGACGTCTCAATTACACTTTAGGGCGGGCGAGCAATCCCGATTTGAGGGATTAGAACTTGGTCCGCCTTCCCCGTTTCACCAACCTCTTAGTCTACCCCTTGAATGCGGTCTCTTGCAGGAGATGGTTACAGTTAGTTCCATATTTTACCCCGTGCGCAGGGGGTTCACAGCACGGGGTGGGAGGTGGACGTGGCGAGTGCGGTGCCACTAAGCGCTGGTCTACCAGTGATGATACGGTGGTTGAGTGGGGCTGATAATAGGCTACGGTATTCAAAACAGATTGTTCGTTCTCAAGATGTCGCGCAGAATGGACGAGGCTTGTATGCTTTGTGGAATTACGGCCGCGAGCACGGCAATGGTGCGGTGGGGATTGTGCTATTTGCGTGTTGGGAAAATGGAGCGTCAAAGTAAGGCCGTGTCAGGAGTGAATTGGGTGAGAGCGAGGCTGCAGAAATGGAGAGATACAGGATGAGTGCCGGCAGCGGTACGGGGAGATGGGGGACCCATTATCACCGGCTGGGAAAGAGCCCGCATCCTCAGGTTCCCGCTCTGGCACCTGGTCGGCTCACGATTCATGTTTATCTTGGCTTCCCAAACTTTTCTCCAGCTGTGAGGGGGATGGGGGCTCAGTCAAATTCGTGCCAGGTTATCACACTGTGCAGAGTACTTCCCATCACCATGATAATGCAGCGAAATCCAAATGCACCGTACGGTACCTGACAAGCACCGGTATCTTCTGTACGGTGATGGACGGTGCTCTGGTGATGAATTATGCGCCCACGCTTCCGCTCACCTGCCACACTCCACATCCCCCCACGGTACTCGTAGACTAACAGGCTCAGCATCCCGGCAGCCTGTGTGAGTGGCCAGCCCCGCCAGCGAATCGAGCAGGCAGCCTCTCAGATGATCCAGTCAGCCCGAAAAAACGAAGGCTCATAGCCAAGCGCCAGGAGAGTGAAATACTGCTTGTGCGAGTAGAAAAATAAAAAAAAATATCCTTAGCGCACGGTATTCGAGATCCAGCCGGACTGGGGAAACAGCGAAGCATTTCCCCATTTCCTTTCTCACCCTCTGTCTCGTCGGTTTCCGCAGCACCGAGCAAACATCGCCAGGACGAACACCAGCAACTCTCCGCCACTCACTAACCCTTATTCCCCGGTCACGGCGGGGCCACGCTGATCCAATTAACCAGCCAATCCTCCCTCCGCTCTACGGCCGCTATGGCGAGCCGGTAAATTAATCCTCCGCAAGGTCGCCTCTGGATGCACAGTCCACAGAATTTGTCCTTTCTCGCTGGGAAGGGATTAGACGACAACGACGACGAGGACGAGGATCACCACCACAAACACAACCGTTACCCCAACAAAAAGAAAAGCCCGAGCCGAACGGTTCACTTGTCTGCGCCAACGACGACAACGACGGCAATTTCCTACTCACGAACGAAACCACGCGGAGGGTGGGTAACTACCGTCGAGTCGCCGGGTAGGGGCAGTGGCAGGATATTGAGCGGGCACCCTGGGGATTTCGACTGTTTCTTTCATCGTGGCTACCCGCTCCCCCCGACTATTCCGGCCATCGACTCCCCCTTTCGTAACCTTCGGGAATTAAGGGCAGGGAAAACACGATACCGACAGAGAGAGATATTATACCCTCATCTTTTGGAAGCGGTACCCAATTTTATTTTTCTTTGAAAAAGGGGAAAATTCGTATACAATTTTCTCTCAATTTTCTCCAGGTCATTGAAGCGAGCCGAAACCCAAGGATCTTTGGCTTGGGGGGAGGGGGTTGGGGTAGTTATTCGCTGTAGAAACTGGTTGGGGAAAATAAGAGGGAAGAGGGAGAGAGGGTAAAAAGAAAAAAAAAAGAAAAGACAGAATATTGGAGGGTCAGTCAGTCGGTCGTCAGCGGGGCTCATCTTCATCCATCAGGTCCGTATGTGTCATGATTCCGCTTTCTCTGTTCACTTTCTCTTTATTTTTGAACAATTATTGCCCTTGGATCTCTATCCTCGATTTTATATTGGCGTTTTTGGGAATTTCCTTTCTTTTTTTCTTTGATTGAGATGCGCAGCCTCATTTCACCGTGAATTTACACACACACCCCCTGTCTCTCAGATCCATCTCCCCCTGACCAATGCTTTCCTGAGCCATTTCTAGAAGACGGGTCCACGTCTTCTTGTCCGACTGACTGACTTGGTTGCGCACTTTCTATGCTGTCCGTGGAGGTTATGGGTGAAATGTTCCAACCTTCTCTCCCCGGCGGGTGACAGCTCGCCTGGGAAGGATTGTTTGTCTCTCCAACTCTATTTATCTATTGTACATCTTCATCTCAACCTTTTTCCTCCCCTTCCTCTCCCTCAGACTGCACTGCCCTCACCGTTTCCCGCTCACCAAGGGCACCGGAAAACCGACTAACATGTCAGGGCACCAGGGGGGTAGTAGATCGCTACAAAATTTGATCCCATCGGACATCGGCCGTTTCGTCCAATAATTCCCTCGGCAGGCACTACAGCATCGTGAGGGCTTTCTGGATGCACTTCGTCGGCGGATCCTTTCGCGATGTGTTTGCCTGCTCCCCGCCGTCGCGCACCTCCTCCCACACATAAAGGCAAATCTCCATCCTCCTTCTCTTCATCTGGCTCGTCCGCGGGTTCGGACCCACCCCCATCCCCTCGAAAACACCGACGGAGGGGCTCTATTTCTGCATCGAGGTCGAGTGACTTGCCCATACGCGTAGCAAAAGTTTCACCCGGCCAGCCACCGCGAACGAGGGCCCCGCTGCCTGCGCGGAGATCGTCGACCAAGAAAAGCTCAAGGGCTGGGTCTATGGGTGGAAGTACAAATGGGAATACAGCGGGGGGGCCAACACCGTCGCTTCCGCCGAGTCGGCGGTCGTCGACGAGAGGGCGGGACTCATCAAAGTTAGCCCCGGCGAGTCCAATGATAGGGCCCGGGGGAAGGTCGCCAACAACGTCTACCCGCTCAGCAAAGAATACCCCTACCCCAAGTCCCACAAAGCGGTCGTCGTCGTCACAACACAGGTCTTCCTCGCGAAGTAAATATTTAGAAAGACCAAGCTCGCAGCAATCGAGCTTAAACTCCACACCACTTCCATCACCACGGATTCCTCGGGAAAAAAAGGGCAAGGATAGGAGCAAAGGAGATATGGATTTAGGGCCTGAGGACCGAGTTGTCGCAGCGAGGCTCCCAATGGAGGGTGGGGGATCTGTTTCTGGTTTGATGGTTGTTCGCCCCGGAAGCAGCCGACGGGGAAGCGATAATGGGAGCCACAACAGCAAGAGCTCGAAGGGTAGTGAGGTCGGAGACATTCAGTCTAAAAGGTCGACAAATATTGCGGCTGCCCCTCCTCTAATCGGCCTCGGTATCACAATGGATAGTCTGATGCCTTCTTCCTCAAAGGTGGTAGAGCGGAGGCCGCGGGAGTCAGAGGTTCAGGCTCGCCAAGGAATACTGCCAGTTCCCCGGATATCAGTTGAAGCACCTTCTTCCCCGCTTGTTGCTCAACCGGCAAAGAAGACCCAGGCTGTTTTTGCTCAAAAATCTTCAACTGTAATGCCCGCCCCTCCGGCTGCTACAACATCGGCACCCGCGGCAGCGCCAGTGACTCCTCAGAAATACCCAGCAATTGCAACAATGTCATACCCTACCCCAGATCAGTTGGCATATAAACCGGTCGACCGGTCTCAAATTCCTACAACAAACTTCCCCGGGAAGGTTATGGCTGCTCCAACTCTTGCTCCCGTTGTGGCCCCGGCGCCGTTGAAGGCTCCGCAGAAGGCCCGTGCTTCAGTTGTTCCCGCCCCGCCTGTCAAATTGCCGCCGGCGAGCAGGGTGCCCCTTGGTCGGCCCCCTGTGGGTGGAGCACCTGTGAGCCTTCCACCACCAACTGCGAAGCCTCAATTCCCACCAGCTCCTATTGAAAGGCCAGAATCCATTGCATCATCAATCTCCTCGCGCACAACCGCAACCTCATCATCATTATCAACATCATCAATGACGTCTGAGAAACCAACGCCTCGGCAACTAACCTACTCTCCGCATCCGGTTTCATCCCCTGGCTCCTCTAGTTCCTCCTTAGTAAGTGTCTCCTCATCCGGCTCGTCCTCGACGACAACCTCCTCTGCGCACCTGCGGCGTATTTCATCGTCAGAACCTGTAGTTCCAGAAATGTCAAGTCGAAAACCAGCATACTACAGGTATGCGCCAAAGAAGGACACCTCACAAAAGCGAATAATGGACTCCCCAGCATTCCCCCAGGGCGACGAAACAATTAAGTCCCGGAAACCCGCAGGGCCCTGGGACGGGAGACCAGGTGCAGACCCAAACCTCGGAGCTTACTACCGTACCGCCGAAGCTGAGAAGCTGAAACGGTCGAAATCTCATTCAACCTCGGAAGAGACATGGGTCGACGAAGCCAATTTAGCAAATTACTATAAGCAGGCCGACGCGCAAAAGCGTAAAATGGCGCTAGAGAAGATGAAGAGAGAACAAGAATATTCGGACAGCGAATCTGTAGCTTCTTCGTCTGTCGTCTCGTCTACTGCTTCGCCAGAAGCTTCGGTAGACCCGGACGTAGCGGTGTACTGCCGCCACGCTAAATCTGAGAAGGAAAAGGTGAAACAATTGGAGCTCCAAACACCAAAGAAGCAGGCACCGAGGTCGGGAGACGAAAAGGCCCTAAGAATCTACTCCTCTCCGTCTACCTCAGCATCACCAAACACCCGCCTCCGGCACGTTCGCGGTGGTCTATCCTCCCATCCCGTCCCCCCACCAGCGCCCACGCCACCCCCGCCTGACACCACAGATACCGAAACCATCGGCGAGACACCTACTGAAAAGAAACCTGGACCTCCTAAGGGCGCCGCAGAAGCATGGTTTCAGGCTTCGATGGCGGCAAAGGGCGAGACTGCGAGTGATTATTGGAATGCGTCGAGGTCGACTATTGAGAGCCCTGAGGAGGAGGCTGGAGGAGAGAAGGTGGAATTTCCGGAGGGATTACCGCCGGCACCGACGCCGCCATTGAGCCGGGAGGATACGCCTGCGGGGGCAACAGGAGCGGGATCTTATTACTCGACGGCGGGGAGTTATAGGGAGGAGAGAAAGAAGGGTTATCGGAGGTGATTTTCTTGAATGCCCGGGGAGCAGAGTGGACGTTGGATGGTTTATTACAACAATTTGGTTCTTTTCCTATCCTTTGGCGGTTTATATGAAATGCTGGACGGGAGATGTTCTTCATTCATCATTCCATTCTTAATTCCCTTCCCTCGTCATTGTTTCCTCTCTAGCCTGCGTTTATCTCTGGATTATGCGGTTTCATCTGGATATATAGCGCTGTGTATTGTTATTCCCTAACATTTCCTCTTCCCCCCCCCCCCTACTATCATTGGTGGGTTTGCGAAAGTAGAGATTTCTTTCTTTTATCTTATTTCGTTTTCCTGTTTGGATTTGTTACGATTGACGGGGGTCCGGTTTTCGGATTGGTTATTAGTTGGCTGGGCTAGGTTAGGAGGGCATTGGTATGTCGGGGGTCGGTTGGTACGATGCTGGTGTTAAGTCTGTTTTATTATTTACCATTTCCGTCCATCTCATCATTTCCTCACTTGATCTCACCTCATCTCACCCGCATGCCCCGTTTCACGAAAAAACAAAAAAACAGATACCGGAATACCATCGGCGCCAGACTGATTTCATTTCCTTTTTCTTTTTATTGACAGAATTTGGCGTCCAGCTCGCGCGCTGTGGACGTTGGAGGGGAGTTTTTTTTTTGCTCAAAGATTGCGGATCGGGGCGGGGGTTGGGGTTTTGCCATTATTGAGGGAAATTTGTGTTGAGAATGATCCGGGTGTGTGAATGATGATGTGTAGTATATTATATTATGTCCTGTAGTATAGCATGATTTATGAATTGAGGGGTGTATATGGTGCTTTTTGGTATCATGTGTTGATGGAGTGGAGGTGGGGTTGGAGCTGTACTGTACACATTCTAGATATGGCAGCGATAAGTGGTAGAAAGAAGACATCCCCAGTGAGGAATCAGATTGTTGCAATATGAACGGGAAGTAGTAAAAAGATCACACAGTAGAGATTGTTCTTACTACCTACAGCATCGACTAGAATAATAGGAGAGATATAGACCATAGACCAGCTATACAATAAAGCGGTTCAGACAAGCTTCTACCACCCGGATTCCACAACAAGGAACAAAGGCATTCAAGGAAAGTATATAGGACCAAAAGGAATAATGAAGATGTCCAAACTGGTACCCGGATTGAGAACGAAAACACAAGCAACTGAAGTAGCCGAAAGAAATCATATATCAACACAGATCCCCCCGCAAGCACCGAGTGACCCCGCATGACTACCCCTTCCAATTTCGATTCCCACTCTCCTCCACTCTACTCTCCCTATGGTGGTGCCTAAACCACTCTCTCACCCCTCGGTCTTCGCCATCCCCGAGTGCGGTCTCCCTTGGATGAATGACGCGGTCAGACTCGTCACCTGGTCTGTTCACTTTATCTTCTCGTTCCTTAGCGGTGAGAAGTTACTTGCAGGAAGTTTTCACCATGGTGAGGCTGTCCTTCTCATTATAGAAGAAACATTCGGCACTTGGGGTTGAGAAACATTTACGCAAGCTTTTGGAGCCGACAGACTTCGGCGCTTCTGTGGCGCCGTTTCGCGCACAGGGCTGATTGATCAACCCGAAACTTACCACCGCTCTAGAAACTCGCCCCCTATCCTGAGGGGGTTGAATGCCTCTTCCACAATCGAGCCTTTTAAAAGGCCGTGAGTGGGGCAGGTGACAAATTTAACATCTGGCGCCTATTAGAACGGGAAATAGGGTGCTTACCACCCGCTACATTGCAAGTGACAGGCGATAACTGTGACTCTGGGAGGCGGTATGGTGGGCGTTGTTTGGAATAAATACCGGCGCTGTGCTTGCAATGGTATCAGATATCTTGGCGTGGTTTTGGCTTGAAGGAAGGAGGGGCGCTTGGGTTGTGGGCAGTTGTGAAGGCGGTGGTAGTGATTGGTCTGCCGCCTGCCCTGGTTCCCGCCTGCTTATCTGCTCCCCGGCGCTACTTGTATATCTGTGACACTGGCTGCTGTGGGAAATCTAGTGGGAGGACGGACGTGCGGTTGCTGATATTACATTTCACAGGACTAGAATTTTCTTTATTCCATTGTACTTGCTTGTTATTTCTTTTTGGAGATTTGTTCGGTTTCTCCTTTCCTCATCTGTAGATCCGTGGGTGCGCTTTTCGTCCCCGAAATTTCGGGATTGAGATACTGGGCCATCGGGACTAAAGTGGCGGTGTATTGTTCATCTGATGGCTCGGATCGTTGGTAGTAGACTACCATTGGTCCTAGGTATTTGGAATTGGTGTTGGGTCTTAGGGAGATGTCGTGTATCTCTTGGCTTGAATTTGGTTGGTGTCCGGAAAGGGCTGGGTCACGCCTTGTGCTCCCTTCTGCTGACTTCACTTCTGCTACCCCTTCCCGGCGATCCGCCTACTTTGTTAGTCTAGCAGGATGGTCGGTTAATCAGAAATAATACCCGAGTAAATGTTATAGGCAAGAGTAAGATGTAAAATTCCCTCAAGGGTAGAATTCCCCGCCCACAGGTGTCGTATCAGATAAGATTACAGAGAGCCGAGGATAAGATGGGTCGGCGGGATTCGCGCTATAGGTTAGGTTATGCGGTAGTAGTGAGTGGATCGTCTACGGATCTGTAAGTCGTAGTTTCAGTGGGGCGAGCGGGATGGGAGGTGTGGGGGCGGCAAGGTGGGTACTGGTTGTGTGTTTGGAGTGGCGAGTTCTGGTTGGTATATGCACGCCAACAGCCAGTCTGGCGTATTAACTCCCGTTGTGCCATGAGGCTTTGTGCCCGCCGATGCTCGGGCTATCAGGCAGTGCGGTCAGGCCAAGCTTACCCCATACGTGGCCTACCCCGTGCCTACCCTAGCCCAGCCCACTGGGACACTAGTAGAGGATAGCTCCCTGCTATCTTCCTTCCTAGGGAGTGGAGGTCGTGCTCTGTGTTGGTGTGGAGGCCTAGGTGGGGGAAGGAACGATCAGTTTATTTCTAACTACGACGGAGACCATCTAACTGAGAAACACATGATTGCCACAATTCATCCATACCCGGACCGTACACGCACCCAACCCAGTGCCCTCACCATGGCGAGGATAACCTCCAGTACCATCAACCAACACTGTGGATGAGGGGTATATGTGGTGTGGAATCTGAGTTGATATATCATGTGGTGACGGAGGTCTGGAAGGGAATCATGAGTATCCCGGGTCTACCGCCCATGATATATCCACCATTTTCCTGTTCTTATTACTGGAATTGCCCTCTCATTCATGGATAACGTTAATCAGTATTAGAGGGAAGGGAGCCCAGGAATCTTTAGCAAGAGTGTGAAAAAAAAGCCAACCTAAGTACCGGCGCCCAAGGTTGTGTTTTGGGGGGGTGCACAGATCAACCCTGTGTATCATATAAGGTTGTGTCCCTCGGCGCCACTCTGTCACACATCCTGATTCCACTCTGGGACAATATTCGCCCTCCTATTTTTTCTTTCCTTTTCTTATTTCCGAACAAAAAACATTATTCCTCAAGGGATAATGTCAAGAGGGAACCCTCTTGCAATACTAGATCTCCAGCTGGTTACACAAGGAATTGAAGAGAATTTAGGTAATACCAAGGGACAGATACGGGCCATGGTGGGGAAGAAATTATGTCTATATACACTATTTTTGAATATCCGATTAGCAAAGACTATTGTGACGGTGGGTGTAATGGGTAGACGGGGGATGAATGGTGAAGTAAACCGGTTGGGAAAATGGCTTCAATGTGACGGAAGTGTATCTGGTTGGGCCCGGTGGCAACTAGCCTAAACAGCACTGTAAATAGATAGCTCCCAGAAGTATAAGTACCATTGCCTGGTGCCCAAGTAGAATAGCAATCAATCATCGGATTCATCTTCTCAAGCGTATACTCTTCTCATACTCTGTGATATTCCAAGCTCCTACTCAAATCACTGACATAGCACACAATATTTCCAACAGGTTATAAGCCCGGTCTTGGACAAATAATGCTTCACTAAAATATCATCCATGATCTAATCGTCTTGAAAAGCTCTAGTACTAGGATGTCAGTTCTAGGGTTTCCAGACTTGACTCTCCTATCAAAGGATCGATACTGCTGCACGTTTGGTGAGACTGAAAAACTGAACTCTAGCAACTTTATGCAATAGACATGCAACATTTGCGCCTTTATAGATGGTGAGGATTGCCTGAATATTGTGTTTTGAGAAGAGCAAGAGCCATCAGCCGATGAATATACTCGTTGAAAAGACTTTCAAAGTAGAAAGTAAGCAGTTTACGCATTAATCTTTGCCTCTTGTACTCCTGAGATCCATGAGTATATTAGTAGCATTAATGATCCTGCTGAGATGTAGGACAACCTGCATGAGAAATTTAATAGTGCTACCTCCCATGCAGGTAGGACCATGATCGCAAGACTGTTTAACTAGTCTAAGCCAGTACCCAATCAACCAATCCAATTCTATATTGCGAAACTACTTCAGTACTGGCGATGCCAAACAGGAATGTAACAGGCATCTTGGAAGAGTCCTTTCAAGTTTCATCTCATCTGATCACTACCTTACCTAAGATATTCAACAGTTTTGTTGATATTGTACTACACCAGCCAGAGGGATACAGCCTAGAAAACCTCATTTCTATGATAGTAGAGGCTGAGACCACCTTAGAGATACGGAACAAGAAACAAATTAGCCTAAATACTAGTTTAACCTTGGGGAGTACACTCTTTACTGCACAATCATGTCCTAAAGGCTCCTTTAGTGGCAACTATGGAAACTGGTCCAGTAGTTGTATGAGTGGAAAATCTAGACATTGAAGAAAACAAGAAAGGGAAAAGCAGCTGACAAGAAGTACTCATGTGTTGGTACTGTGGCCTTCAAGGCTACAAAGAGTCGGAATGTAGGACTAAAAGGTGAGTTGCTCCTTTCCAACTTAAAAGATAACAAGACAGAAATGCTACAATGGTAGCTATTAGTATCACAAGAGTGCAGGTACTAGTCACAATGAGAAAAATCCAAGATTATCAAGAGTGGATAATCGACTCAGAAGTGATGCACCATATCTGTCATTCAGATTCAACTTTTACCAACTGTCATATCTGTCCAAACCAATCAGTATTGTGCTTGGAGACGGTTCCGAAACTGTAGGCTACAAAAGTGGTAAGATTGAGCTATATTTTATATCAGAGTATAGTATAAATATTAGCGTAATCTATGTTTCTACTTTCTCAATCTCCCGTCTCTCGATTGGTTAACTCTCTTCTGAATACTCAATTGTCTTTACTCAAGACGCTTGCTTTATTGTTTGTTACCTGTCCAATTCGACCAATCAACAAATTAAATTGGCTGTCTTCTCCGATGGCCTTTACTGGATAAACACTCAAGTTATGGACAGAAGAAAAATTGAGATCTTTGCCGGCGCTAGTGCAGTCAAACCAATGCTAGAACTCTGATACCAATACTTTGGCCATATTGGCCAGCATGGCCTTCGTCTTGCTATCAGTAACCTGCTACCTCAAAACAAGACACATGGTACCATGCTGGCTTGTACTCCATATATACTTAGAAAGCAGTACCAAAACATTATATGCACCCCAGTTCCTCCTGTCTTGCATCCCTTTAAGCTAATTGACTCAGATGTCTGCGGTCCCATTGTGGTTCCGTCCTTCTCTGAAAAGAAATATTTTGTCATCTACATTGATGATTACTCCTGATAAGCTTGGGTGTACTTTGTAAGAAGTAAGGACTCTGTAGAAATAACTTCGGTATTTCAAGAGTTTCTTGTACAAATGGAAAAGGCCTATCCCCAATAACCTATTGCATGTTTTTGGTGTGACAATAGAAGATGCGAATATGACAATTGTCTATTCCATGGTATTTTGAGAGTCTCTGGGATTGCTTTCGAACCAGCTCTCCCTATATG